ATATGTTTTATTTGGCTCAACCCAAATCTTATCCGGTCCACATTTATCGTTATTATTTCCTCCAGTTCTTCCGTTTATCAATAAATCAGCCGGAGAACCAACGAATTTTAATGGACTTGCATAAAGACCAGCTTCTAAAACATCATCAGTATCTGTATTGTTCCAAAAGTCCGAAAGGACGATTATGCGTTCGTCGTCGTATTCGAATGGATGCGTCTTATCGTAAATAATGAGTGCACCGTGTCCAGTGATTGTGGTTAAACCAACATGCGAATGATAACTATTTCAAAAAAATACATTGATGAATTTACGCATATTCGACTCGGACTACTATACTTAGTCAGCATACATACAAATAAGTCCCTGCTTGTTCAGGACACGCGACAAATTCATAAGTATACGTTTTATTAGGCTCAGTTTGATATTGTGTGATAAACGGCACACCATCTGCCAGAGGTGTTCCACGCTGCCGTATTCCATGAAAATGTAAAGTAATATTATCTTTTTGCATATGATTAATCATATTCACACGAATAATTTCACCGACACTCGCTCTGATAGGCGGCGGTGGATACGCTCCGTTAATATGAATTACATCACGGTTTGGATTACCACAATCTTTTATAGGAAGATAAGTTATTGTGAAATTATATTCACGAATGTTTATTCCGGTTGCTAAAAGTGATAGAATCGTAATCGTAATGATTATGACAAATAATCTTTGTAAAAGTGAATTGGCGGTCAAAAAATAGTATAGTAATAATTTTTTGGACGTCATGTTTTATTTGATTAATAATTGTGCTTTTGTCGTATTTATAATAAGTACATGGGTAAATTAATCCGAAGCTCCCCTTTTAATTGATCAAAACGAGCCTTTAATGGTCATTATAATAAACAATTTTATTTTTAAACGAGATTTGTCACGAAGGATTGACTGTACTTTAAAATTAATTTGGGAAAGATCTTTTTGTTTACATGTATTTTGTAGATGGCTGAGCATTTAAGCCGCCGCCGCCATAGAAATTCGAAGGTTTAACCTTAAGACTAGGGATGGGATCCAAAATCTTATAAAGAAAAATGACACTTAGGATAGGTTTAAAGTTTTAATATACTCGATAATAGAATTCGTGGGTTTTGAAATGCATGGTTTTGATATATTCGTAGCAAAATATTCGAAAATTAATTCGTACAAGTTATCTAACGTGGTAATAGACATTTTTTAGGAATTAACATTCGATAAATCTTTGCGTTATTTTATGTCATACCGATTCAACTTATTTACATAAAAAGAATCTGCGACATCGTTTTTTTACAAAAGCGGGAACTTTATGATGTTCAGTGTATTTTGACTATACAAGGAAATAGTCAGTAACGCCAGTCTCTTTTGCCACCACGTATGTTTTAAAAGAAAGAATACATTGTGTAATGTTTCACCGCCGCTGTAATAATAATAATAGTAACGGTAATAATATAATCAAGATAATAATAATAATAATAATAATAATAATAATAATAATAATAAATAATAATAATAATAATAATAATAACAATAATAATAAACGATAACGAATCAAATAATAATAGTGTAATAATCATTCATAATAACAATAATAATCATAATCATAATAATAATAATAATAAAATAATAAAATAATAAAATAATAATAATAATAATAATAATAATAAATAATAAATAATAATAATAATAATAATAATAATAATAATAAATAATAGTAAGAATGAATGTACTAATAGCAAACATCAACAACATTTCCTTTAACTTATCGTTATCACTATTTTTGCTTGCCCCGATTAATACTGTATATATTCGAATTACAAAATTAAAAAAATCGTTTCCAATTCATAACAACAATAATATTACGTAGTAGTAGTAATAATAATAATAATAATAAATCTATTAGCTATATCGATATTAATCGCACGACTATTTAATAATATATATAGTATACATAGTGATAACTACAAAATAATAAGTGGGTTTTGTAGTATGAACAGCAACGAAAACTCTGATAGTGAACTTTTTGCAGATTCTGAGAGCGAAGCATCAACAACTTCATCACCATCTCTAGCAGATACATCACCAACTAGTCATTCTTGTCATTCACCAAAAGATATTCCTTATACATCTTCTTCCTCTACTATTTCACGGGACTCGTCAAACAGCAACAGCAATAATATGTCTTCGTTACAGAATAGTCGATACGGAAGTCGTCCGAAAGGAAGTAATATAGACCTTAAAGGGTTTCTTAATCTTAATAAAAAAGAATATTTTAAATTGAGGGTATTTATTCATTGAAAGATTTTTCGTTTTGTCTTTGGATATAAAAAAAAATTATAATTGATTATTGCTGAATTAAATAGAAAGTAGCTCAAGATGCTATGAAATCACGCTTTGATTTCGACATGACATTTAGTCAACAAGACTCTGAGAAGAAAATGGCTGTATTCGAAGCGGTAAACACATTAAAAGATGTCTACATGATCTTTATCATACTTGATGATTCAAATTTTTTATCTTCTACCACACAGATTTATTTGGAATATCCGCATTATAGGTCATGTGTAAATAATTGGATTGCTCGTGAAGTTTCAAGAAGTGTGTTTTTTGCGCATCAACAAGTTATACGAAATAGGAATAAGGTAAAAAATGATCAATAATATATATATTAATATTTGAAAGTTAAAAGTATATGCTAGTGAGCACTAACAATTCTTTAGGCATTTTCTCAGCTACTCTTGGGAGATAATGACACACGTGACAGCTATTCGCTGGGCAAGAGGCCACATCAAATATACACAGACACTTCGGACGAAGATCCTACTAGCCAATGTAAGAATTTAGGACTTTCGCAATGTTTTGGTAATTTTCATATTTATCTCTGATCCTAAGTAACCCCCTCCTCTTCTTCAGCTTCACAGAGTACACCTTATAGATCAAAGAAACATAAATCAAAATCTACACAATTCAATGCTCAAGAACCGTCAACAACTTACCCAAATCATACATCCACTTCAACGCTCAATAATAATCAACAGAATTTATTAGATCGTATACCTGCACCCGGAACGATCGGTAATCTTTGATATTTTCGTTCAGCTTAAAAATCCTTTGTTTCATCTGTATATTTTGCGTATTTATTATTATAGTATTTTATTACATAAAGTTGAAGGGGTTGATCCTAACGGTGACGAATATTCTGAATGCATCATGAGTCAAGAGATCCGTGTAATAACTCGTTCGATAATCTTGCGAATGAACAAAAGAACGGGCGAACAACAGCAATTCGAACGAGAGTCCGAGCAAATAATAACAAAGAATTGATTGAATTCATTAATAGCACCATCTTATCTTTTATTAATTATGTTATGTAGTTAGTTACTAATTAAATATTTACCATAATATATATTATACCTCATTAACAGTTTTTCATCTTTTCTTCGCATATGCACATATACACAAAATAATCGTTACACAAAAACTATAAAGTATTGAAAATTCTATCGCTATGTTACTGCTGATGCACATGAAAACTTTTCTTCATTCATCTTATTTACGTATTAGAATTCATCCGCTATACATATCAAAAAGTTCTTCTTGCTATATAAAAGCATATAGTGTTCATGACTTATTTTGATCAATATGACATAATTATGTTAAAATTAACGGGACAAATTCATTAAAACAAGAAAGATCATGAGAAATTTCAAATTATATGGATATCATCAGTAAAGACCCAAATTATATATGAAAAATATACGTTTTGCCTACTGACGACCCTCATATATTCGAGGAAGAATTTCATTAGATTATTTGGATGTCAGCTTACAACATAATCATTTACACTCAAATCTGGTCCGGTTAGTAAAAAATTCGGGTTATGGTTCATCCAGATTTAATTAGTGCTTCGTTATACTGTATATACAGGTTCGATATAATTTTTGTAAATACTGAAAATTTGTTAAGCAATTCAAATAGGCTCGCTTAAATGGAATAGTTTGACGAGAAAGTTTATTATATTATATAAAATGGTAATAGACATTTAAAATTTTTTAAAATTTCTGCCTATTTTATCATTATTATTCTGACACTGTATAAATAATATTATATAGATCATTTAAAGGAGAAATTTTGTTTCAATTCCAGAATGGATGATTAGTTACCGAATCATTTTTTTGGGAATTTATTTTGACGACGACGACTATTACGCATTACGATTGATTATAATCAGAAAAAATGTGGATAGGAACTTTCTTCGCATTTCTTAAATAATCAGACTTTATATAATTCAATGTTTGTTATAGAATTGAAAGAAAACTTTCAATTTTAGTAGTGTTTATAAGAAATATTTCCACAAATGACACATATAAAATTATTATTATTATGTTTCATAAGGATAATTTAACTTCCGCCATGATTGCCTTTAGAATATTGATTTCTTTAAGATACATGCATACTTTGAAGTTCTGATATCTTTAGAGTGATCATAATCAGTCAGACAAATAGCTCGCAAATGCCCTTCCAAGCTTAAATTGTTATACCAATTACATGTATTTGACTATTCATTTCAGCTTATAAAATCAGTAAACTTTACTGATAAATACTGTGGTTGTCGTATCGCGATTTCTAAAATTAATTAAAAAAAAGTTATAAATGTTTTAATGCATAAATGGTAAAATTAAAAAATAGTGACGTTACGATGCATACTAATACAATCGTTCCTTCCTCAGGAACAGCAAAAAGTGAGATTTAAAGAGATTGTGACTGTATAGATGTCAAATTCTGAATGCTGGGCTGGGTGAGAGGGCGATCATATAGAAGGGATGACTGTGCATACCGATATACATGTAATATAAAAGATTAGTATTTATATATCCAGTGTATTAAATTTTATAAAGCTCAACATATAAAACCTTTAAGGTTTATATTGAAATCAAAAAATAGTAAATGAACGCGATCATTTGTATTTGCATAAAGATTGTGCTTGCTTTAAATAGCGATAGCTGATCAGTTACTTTTACACGCACATGTACTGAACATCTATCTAGTAGGAGATCAATGGTATTTATTTATTATTGTCACATAGAAACGCCTATTTTTTATACACAGCCATCCATGTCTTCGGAGAACATAATAATTAATTGAACATCACAACCCAACTAGAAGAATCAGAAAAAAAAGAATCCAAGAATAATAAGCCAAAAGTAAGTTAAAATTATATGTTGGTAATCTGTTTTTGTAAAATGGAAAGACAAGAACATAGATATAGCGCACAGATCATAATGTAGAGAGAAGCAAGAGATTGCCATAGCTTGCAAATTCAGGAAGAGGATAATTTAGCTAGAAGATAAATGTAACTGCGGGCGAAATATCTCGGTATACATTATTGATATGCGCGCAGAACTACCATCATTCGATTCGTCTCGAATGGCTCGAAACAGATAACTGGATGTCGAACGTACATTAGTTTCAATGGGCCGGTTGTTTGGAAAAACGAACTCGGATATCCCACCATAAGCTCAATGTTAAGCGTGCTGCTTCTTTTATTGCAGGGATAAATTAAATACTCTTATATTCTTGTAGAAAAAAACAAAAATGGTTTCAGCGGAACATAAATGATTTGCTAACAAATCTACAAGTTCTCGAAACTACAGGATCAATAAACTACAGGATAAAAATTACATCCGCAAAGCTCAACAACTACTCATTTTTAAAACATCAAGTTCAAAATAATTGTGTAACCGAGACACATTTGTATTATATGACGTTATCATTTTACAGTATTGGCAAAAAATCATATCATTAAAGCCAAAAATTACAGAATACCCCCACGATTATGCAATATTATAAAACCTGACAAGTTTAAAATACTGCTCACTTATCAAATTATTCAGGACCAGTTTTACCGTCCTGATGATAAGCTTCTGGATGACGTTCATGAGGTTCAAGGTTTAATTTTTGTGCTGTTATATGCACAGCATCTGAGAGTTTTTCTTTGACAGTATGCAAATATGGGTGATCAGATGTATCGTGGGTTTTTGTGGCTGAAGATTCATTTTTGTGGACTTGTTCTGGTGATGTGCGATTCATTTTTAATTCACGTATTATAATAAGGATTGGCTTTTTTGCAAATTTTTGAAATTCAATTTGGAGTTGTTAAGTCTAAACCTGCTTGTTTTATATACTTTTTCGAATAACTAACCATTTATAAAAACGCCGATCACATAACGTATTAGTGATATCATCAAGCTCTATCGCTATATACCGATCGATACGTCATTATGAACCATAAATAAACAGTTCCCAGACTTTGATCAAGTGATCATTTACCCATGAATTTTATGCATTTTAAAATTTCCTGATTTGATGTATAGTCGATCATGTGATCAATTCAGCACATGCCATTTATCATTTATCACGTAATATTTTTTAACTAAAGTCAGGATTTTAATTTTCAAAAAGTACATTTACTTGAATTAGTATCATTTTATTATTCTTGCGCAATTATCCTTTTCATTAACATATATCACAAGTCTTAATATATGTATCTATATCTCTATGTTTTAATTGTTTTATTATTTATAACCAGTTACGTGGTGTAAAAACAAGAAGTCCCACGTGACAATCAATTTTTCACATATCGATATTATTAGTATCGGTATTCTATGGTGTGTAACATCTATAATCATCAAACAATTTTGTATAACTTCTAAATATATCTAGTCTTCCAATTTGGGTAATATAAACTGTGAAATTGAACATTTTAGTGGTTTTTTTAATTATTTAGTGTTAGTATTTTGTAAAGTTATTGAAGTTTCACTTTATTAATGAAATGAATTTTTATTTTCGGATGCCAATCGGTATATTTTAGACCAATCAGCAATTAGATGTCGATCATTTAAGTCACATGACTTTGAAAAGTATACTGAGTTACTTGATTCCGGGATTACAGTGGCTCATGGAAGAAATGGAACACGGGAAAAAAAATTGGCGAGATACGAATATCTCGCCATTGAAGAATTGTACGGAGTCAAAGGTAGGTGCATTTTATTCGTTAAAATGCTGCTCATCAATCAATGCAAATTTTATTTTCATCCATCATTTCTATTTTACACAATAATTTTTTTTATTTTTTTTAGTGTTCCGCGTAATACAACCGAATTGGAAGAAGAAATTCAGACTCATAAAGATAAGTATAAAAGTATCTTTGAGGAGTTAAATAGTGAGTAATATAGTGTCGGATTTAGTGAGCCAATAAAATTAACGAATATACTTATATCACATGAAGATCGTCGTTTCAAAATTTCGTACTGATCTGCATTTTTGATGAGTATAAATGTTATGCACCATAGGGCATTGAGTTTTCTTGTAATGTTCATTTTTCATATTTTGTCGGGGAATTTTGATCAAATATATACAAGTTTGCCTTCCCGACATTTTTAATTAATAGTCTAAGACAGTGTTATACATCAATCATCAAAGTTTGACAAAAATTTGCGCCCTCCTAATTGGATGAATTACAGATTAAAAAAATTGGTCTAAAGCTAATAATTTTGTGTCCAGTGAGAAATTACGATATTTTTTAATAATGAAACCTTATCGTTATAGTGACAAATTAGACAGGATAATCCGGGCCTCTATGCTACCAAATTATCCAGGATATTTAATGTCATTATAGAGAGGTTCACGTGTAAAGGTGATTCTATTATATGTAAAATTGTACATTATTTGTTTTCTTGTGTCGCAATTTTTATTAGTTTGTATATTTTCGCATGCGCGTTAATTTTTTCTTGCTGAAATTGACTTAATATATAAGCCGTCCATTGAGAAACTCGATAATATAAATTGTTGTAGCGGTAGTTTGTCTTTAATAATCACTGCGATATTTGTCAAAAATTAACGCAAGGAAGACTATTGATCAAGTTTTTTATACAGTTGATCATTTTTTCTTTTTACGCGAAATATACAAGCGCACACTATAGTAACCCTAAACGAATAAAACTGATTTATCACTTTCTATAGACCGGCGCGATGTGGCTGTACTGAAATATAAACAAACTATTTACTACGATATTAGCAGTATATGCAATATCTCTAATTACAAAAAAATATAAATTTTCTCAAAATGTACATCCCTATTTTACGTTGGGGATTTTACTGTTAACAAAAAAGACGGATTTTATGTTTTGAGTTCCATAAAACTTGGTGAAACTCTAGTTCGGAATATACTAGAAATACATAGAAATTATTATTTATGTGGAAAGTTGAATCATAAATCAATCATAATTAAAATTTTACCTGCAAATTATAATAATCTGTCCAACTTGTACACCGACTAGCCCTTCGAAAACGTCAAATCCCATAAAGGCCATGTTGGCTTTGGCCTCTCTACGAAATAGAATTAGAAAGACGTTTATCCCCGCTTTGATAATTACAAGTAATGCAAGCGAGAAAACGACAAACGTCAACTAAATAAACAAATATGTATAACATTAACCACTTTTTTCCATAGAATCAACAAATATGTTAAAAATACTTGCGTGTCTAGAAATGCCAAGGATCTTTCGTAGTCTATACCCATCGCCAAATAATACACGTTGTTTCAACTGAGCAATATAATTTTTTAGTACAGCGCGTAATTTTGACCAAAAAGAGAAAAGCACCGTCAGATACAATATCGTCCAAACGGTCCAAATTCCCGTGTTCCAATTTGCTGTGGCTATCGTTGCTGCCTGATTATGTTCTATCAAGTGTTTGCCTTTAATCCATCGTATGGGAAGAATGGTAAATGCAGGTCCAATAAGAAAAAAGAATCCGGTCGTGTCGATAAGGTATTTGTTGTATAACTTTGATTCTTTAGAGAGAGATTCGTCGGCGCTTGAGGTGGCGTACACTTTAAATTCCGAATTGAATCTTATTGTTAAATAAGGGACGTTTTCTTGTGTTAAACACCAAAAAAGCCAATAGAATACTTACACAGCCCGATTGGATAGAGTGTTGATAAAGAGAATCCAACTATAACAGGAAGTTGTCCGCCGACTAGATGTATATAAAATTTCATTTAGTCAATGTAACAATTAAAACGAATGCAAAAAGGAAATAATACTACCTAGCGCCCAGCTTGTATTTGAATATAGATCGCCTATCAAACAAATGGCATCAACTATTGTGGCTGAAAATAAATGCATAAAAAAAATAAGATATTAAAATCGCATTTTTTTTATTAAACTTTTTTTTGGAAACCAAATTATTTTGAGCATACCTAAAGTGAAAGAAGCTACGCAAATTTGAAAAGCTTCTAACGGTCGAAACCTTAAAATTCCTCGTCCACGTGAAAGTGGAAACCGCAGCAACTGGCCTTGGAAAATAACTCGATAGTATAATAGTGCCAGAGAAGTTAAGAATATGACGGAAGTGTAAGCTAGAACGGCTATGTAGACAACTCGCGCTTGTGGATGTGTACCACATCCTTGGAGTTTATCGTTAACTACGCCAGGAAAATCGCATTCATCTGATACCCACACTGTTGATGGGGTTGCATTATCATCCAATGTTATTGCCATGTTTTCAACAAATATTTAACTGCTTATTATATTTGAAGCGTATCTATTTACGCTGGTTATTAGATTTTGGTAAAAATTAGACGTTTTGCAAAATTAACAATATAATAAGGTAGCAGGTACCCGAAAAAGTCAAGACATCAAGTAAGGTTCGTAAATTTGAAAAAGTCGAAGATAATTTTCTCGATTAAAACAGCAGATGCAAGAAAAAAAAATCACGTTGTCTCACCATCTTATCTTGTTACCGTTACGAATTAATCGTCGAGTTAACGCAAACCTCATACTCTAATACGAGATCCGAGTTGATCTTCGTTGTTAATTGTTATTATCTAGCAAAAAAAGGCATTCATCGAGATGTTTTTAATTTTTAATATCATCCTTGACAATGACGATATTTTTAGCTCAATGATATTGTTACGAATATGGCATGGGCTGTCCTGTACCGGTACACGAACAATTTGTTTATTATTTATTTTCTATATGAATATTCTTTGAACGAAATAAACCTTTAAAGGTTGGGATTTTCGTTGTCAACAGAATTTCCATTTTCGATATTTTATTAGAAACATAATTTTTTGAAAGTTAATTTTTTAAAAAAATTATAATACAGTAATTTGCCGCATAAAACAGTAGGACCTGTTATATTTAACAGAAAATTTAATTTTGGGGGAAGGGGAGTTTTGGTTTACACGGCGAATTACGGTCGATAAAAATTTAAACTTGCTCTAAATTGGAAATCGACTCTTTTCTTGTCGAATCACTTTCGAAGCTTGCTTCCAACTTTTTTTCCGGGGCGTTTATTATTTCGCTTTGATTATGACGCGCGCGTAACGCGATTTTCCAGACTACATAAGTGGACCATATTTGAGTGCCAAAGAGTATAACTCCGCCAATTGGGTAGATTACATTGAATACGGCAATCAGAGTGTAATGGTCTTAAAGAAGATATTTTTTTTAAACATTAAAATGATTTTAGTGAATCAACAAATAAAATGTCATTAAATTTTTAATGGTACCTTTGTTTGGAAGTACATAGTGTCCTATTAGATTATTTAATACAGTTTAGTATTATCGTGATTAATACCAAGCTATATGAGTATTCGGAATTTATACTTGCCCCAGTATATGTAGCACCAGATGAGCGTCCCAAATTTGACGGCAAAAACTTGGAAAGCAGAAAAAAATAGCACCCAAGATGCCCACCGTCTCATAACTCGGTAGAAAAGCAAGCCGATAAATGTCGATTGTTCGGTGCTCGCTTGAAACAAGAGAATTAATGCTTGCGAGTAGAGATCGATGTTTTCACTATTTAAGGCAGATTAGTTTGTCGTTAATTCGATGATGTATAGCTTTTAAACAAGAACTTTAATATCTCAATTCTAATGTCAAACCAATTTGCCACGATATATGAACCATAGATAACGAGTATAATGGTAGTAAAGTGATGCATGATTAAAGGAATGCGCATCACAGGACGATAAAGTAATTCGAAAATATACCTGGTATTAAATTTAAAAGATTAGAGATACTGCTTCTTAAACGACGCTCATTCTTCAAAGATAGCTTACAAGTCAATAAGAATAACTCCAATTATTTGAGCAAATTGGTAATCGCGATAATTAAAATCACGTAGCATTAATCGATAACATGACAGCTGCAATCCTAAAGCAATAGTCGTCCAGATAATTTCCAGAACATAAGTTGTGCAGTTTTTAAGGTGATGCAAAGGGATATTCGGATTAAGAAATCGTATTATTATGCGTTCACTCGCTTTTGACATGAGATAAAGAGTGAGGAAATAAATGACGTGATTTGTTGTGAATAACGGCCAGGTTGTTCCGTTTGCTATTGGATACAAATGTATAAAATGTCGTTATCTTTGAGAATATTTCTTCATCTCTCATCAGAGGAAATGATAAATCGATTAATTGATAATTTTCTTCCACGATTCAAGAAGAACTCTAATCAATCGTCAAAAAACATACGTGTTTCATCACGCAACTTTTGCACCTCTGATAATTGTTTTGGTGTTAAATATAACAATGAAGGTGGAATTTTTAATGAATTAATAGACATTTTTTGAGTAATTAATTTTTGATTTTGAGGTTATTCTTTTTAATCTTAAGTTCCAACAATTTTTTATCGATTGACCGATACTTATATTATCGTAAACTTAATGCCAAGAATGTTTACTGTAAGTAATCAAATAACTGTGCATATTCGTGGGTAAAAGGAGTGATATACTGATAAATTTATAGATTTCAAGATTTCATCAGTACTAAAGATCCCAAGATTGGAAACAGCATCAAAGTTAACGTTAATATTGTTATAATCTTCGTTATTTCATTATATCGCATGAACAAAAAAAAACAGTCTACATGTACATGACATGTAAACTGTAGTATGTATGCATACTTTTCTGAAGTGCCAGATTCCTTGGATTGCATACTTGTATACACAATCACAGCAACAAGAACGAATTGAAAAACCCAATTTAAAAATTAGCGATAGTGACAAAGCTTTTAAAATTCACGCCCGTGGTTATCGCACCGGCACTGACAAAAAAAGGAAAAATTAACCAGTTCAATCATTGAAGATTGTTTGGGAATATTGTGTAACGCAGAAGTACTCGTATAATTACATGTATAATTATATTTCGAATTTGCCTCGAAACATTTTTTTCGATAATCATTGTTGCAGATAAATGTAATATTAATTTCCAATAAACGCCAACTGCATGAACTTGACATTTTGCTTAAAGGTACGATTGTATCTCCTGTATGTTATCTCCTCTTATGATTTACCTCGTTTATATCTCCTGCTTGAGCTGGGAAAAATGTCTTTTTTATATGCTTGTATCTAAAATAAAGTTCTATGGTTCCAAAGAGATTTGACTGTATATATTTTAAAAAAGAAATCATTCAAACAACATCTTGTACTCCTTCCTAAAATACATGTACTCCTAGTTTACTAAATGTTGCATTAAAGAACTGAATTTATACATATTATTGAGCAGTTATTGCCAGCGAATAACCTAAGAAAAGGAGAGAGAAGTAAATTGTAACAGAAAATAGTTTCATTGCATTTTACTAAAAAATATAATTATTAACGAATGGATAATTCCCAAAAAGAGATTATTTTTAATATGCAAATTTCCGCATTTCGAAAAAGAAACAAATATAAAAGATTCGTTGTTGGGGGAGTGAAATACTTCTTTACCGTATTTTTCTAATTACGTTTTAAATATAAAAAATAAATAACCGATGAAATTACCAAAAAAGGATATATTTATTTCCCTTTTCTTGCTCGCTTCATCATCCTTAGTTAGTGGTGATGACTATACTGTGGGAACACCTAAACCAAAAGCTCCCAGTTCACCACAAGTACGAGAATACAATTTTGATGTAAAGAAAGTCACGCTTGCTCCGGACGGTTTCAGCCGACGATTATGGACTGTTAATGGCCAATTTCCAGGTCCACCAATTGTCACCTTCAAAAATGATCAAGTAAAAGTCAAAGTTACTAATAATCTTGGTGATCAAGTGACTTCAATACATTGGCACGGCATAAGACAAATAGGAACCCCATGGTATGACGGCTCAGTCGGTGTGACTGGATGCGCTATACCAAACGGAAAGTCATTAACTTATGATTTTAAGACACCCGATGGAGGAACTTATTGGTGGTAAATAAAGTTAATTTCTTACTGCTCGAATACAGAAAAGAAGATACGATACAGGGTTTTCGCCTCTAATGCATTTTTTTCTAGGCACTCTCATCATATGGCACAATACACTGATGGACTTTATGGACCGTTTATCGTTCATGATCCAGATGACCCATACCTGCCATACTACGACGAAGAATTCACGGTAATCTTGACAGATTATCACCATGACGAGATATCCCCTAATCTTGGGATCCTAGATTTACCATTAGGTGGTGGTTTCCGAGAGGTATTATCCCGTACTCAATGATTTTATTTTTTGTTTAAATTTTTTCTAAGTATTTTTTCTTATTAATAGCCCAGCCCAGATAATGGTTTGATTAACGGTCGAAACAATTATAATTGCACCAAAGCTCCTGCTGGATCAAAATGCACGCCTAATGCGGGATATGCTAAATTCAAATTCGAACGAGGAAAGCGTTATCGTCTTCGTCTAATCAATACCAGGTAAAAAAAATTATTGTTTTTCTATTTTGGCACGTCTTGACTAATAGAAACTGATTTATTTTTTCGATACTAGTGCTGAGGCGTTGATTTTCTTCTCAATCGATAATCACGTATTAAATATCATAGAAGCAGATGGTTTTTATATTAAACGTCAGGAAGCACACAGAATTCCAATTCACGCTGGCCAACGTGTCTCTGTAATCGTTGTTGCCGATCAAGTAGCCGACAATTTCTGGATGCGAGGAGAAATCGACACTGTATGTTATTTCCAGCCACCAGTTAATCTAGATCCAAAATTCAATGCTATTGTTCATTATGAAGGTGCCAAAGAGAATGTTGATCCAACAACTAAACCATGGACAGACGCTCTCGAAGATTGTATGGATTTGGATCCTAATACTCTTCAACCACTTGTTCTCGAACCTGTGCCATCCCCAGTTGGAACCTCTTTAACATTATTCAACATTGTTCATCCTAATGAGAAAAATCAAGTTCGCTTCTATATCAATAATTCAAGTTATGTCCCTGACAACGATAACCCCACCATCAATAAAGTTTATAATAATTACAATTTATCGACAATTAATCCCAATCAAAATCTTTATACATTCAATAAGCCTGGCGAAGTCATACAAATTCTGATTCAAAGTATGTATTGTATGTTCTATATAGGTTCATGCTAATTAATATGTCAATGACTAACGATTGTAACTGTTATTATTAAGATTTAATAGGAGGAGAACATCCTTTCCATTTGGTAATTATTTATTTTCTTTTTGTTGTGTTCAAATCGAATGTCTTTATTGATCTCTTTATTTTGTTTTTATATTAATAGCACGGGCATAATTTCTGGGTGTTAGGGATTGGCCGAAACGAGACATATAAAGAAGGAGTTTCAACTCTAAACACGAGAACCGCAATTAAACGTGACACCGCTGTTGTCCCTTCTGCAGGTTGGTTGGCTATTCGTTTTGTTGCCGATAATCCAGGAGCATGGATGTTTCATTGTCGTAAGTATTATTGCTGCTCAATACATATACATGTACATTCTAAATTTATTAAAAGCGTGTGTATAATTTGTTGTATGTTTTCTTTTAATTTTTGTAGATATCGAATGGCATTTCCAAGTAGGAATGGTTGTACAATTCCTTGAACTTCCTGATTTATTGAAAAAGCTTACGCAACCACCTGAAGCTCGTAGTTTATGCCCTTGAAACTCGTAACTTACGTTCTTAATTTTGAGAACTAAATTATTTCCGCATCCCTTTGTATTTCTAGTTGTAAAATAGAGTGTATTAAAATATACATATCATTTAATTGGTGAGGAAAAATGCGTGATTTGTAAATAATGAAAATACGGGAAACAGACACTTAAATCTAACTTGGAGTAATAATAAATAATGTCCGTAGATAATTTTAAATATGACATTACCCTTAATTCTAATCAATCTGTATTAAAAAGTAAGTTATTCGGAACATCTGATCCAAACTGACATTTTTAGTTTGAAATGTTCTGCACTCATCTGTATTGATATTTTTATAAAGTATCATTAATATATGATCATGAATTTTAAAATATTATTGTGTTAGCAACATAGATCCTTTGACTTCTAGATCATTTAAACCTTAACCAAAAATTTATGCATTAAATTACCTAATATTTAATTAGTATTTTGTATAATATACTTGTTTAATATCAAAACATATAACTTGCCGTATCAAACACAATGATTTTTTTATAGTATATTTCCTTGGTAATGAAGATTAATAAACTAATTTATAACAGATAATATTCAAAATAACCTTTAATAAAATTACTTAAAATAGTAATTTTAATTTCAAAAACTCTTTATATATAGATTTTTAAATATTATTAATAAGTTCAATATTATTTATTTTTGTTATTAATTTGTATAATTTTATTAGCTTAATTTATATATAATTAAATTTCTATTTTGAAAAAATAAAATTCAGTAATTAGAAAAAGAAAGAATTATAAAGTTTATATTTGATTATATTTATTTAATAAAGGAAAAACTCAAATTAGATGATGAAATATAAAGGAACTTAATTATTTATATAAAACTTTATATTATATATTCTGAAACAAGTTGGAATTTGAATTCATATTGAAATCAGTATTATTTATTGATCAAAGATCTTTTAATTCTTATAAATAATTGAATAGTTAACTTTTTATATAATTTTATTTCAAATTTCAACTTTATTTAAAATATTTATAAAATATTTAAATTATTATAAAAATTATTATTAACAAGAATAAAAATATTATTATAATAAAAAATATAAAATAATTTAAATAAATAAATAAAACTTTAAATAATTTTATAGTATTATTATTTTTTATATTCTTTTATTTCTTATTTTTATATTTATCCTTCTTTTTTAAATTATTTTTTTTATATAATAATAATAAAAAATAATACATCAGAGACTAAATTTATTAATATAATATAATAAAAATTGAAATTTTCTTTAATTAAAATTTGTAATTTTATTAAGAAATAATTTTTATTTTTACATTAAATTAAAATTTAGTAGTTATAATTTAATATATATATTTTTTAGATTATTAATTTTTTTGAAAGTTATTTTAATTATAAAGTTAATACAAAAAATTTTATTAATTAAAAATAAAATTTAATTAACAAAAATTTTTATATTAACTTTATAATTAAAATAATTTTTTCAGAAAAATCAAAAAAATATATATTAAATTATAATTAATTAATTTTATTTTAATATAAAAATAAAAATTATTTCTTAATAAAATTATAATTTTAATATAAAGAAAAGTTTTCAATTATTATTATATTTATTAATAAATTTAGCTTCTAATTTATTACTTTTAATTATTATTATATAATAATAGTTAAAAATAATATAATTTTATTAATAAAATTTAGAATTTTTTCTCTATATTATCTAATTTATATATTAATTAGTTAAAAATTTTTACTTTTTATAAATTTATATTATATTTATAGTAATAACTAAAAATAATATATCAGAGATTAATTTATTAATAAATTATAATGAAAATCAAAATTTTCTCTTTATTATAAGATTATTTTATTAATAATTATAAATAAGATAAAATATAATATGAATAGTTTTTAGTTTTATAACTTATAATTATTTTTATTATTTAAAAATATTCAGATCTAAAGTTAATTTACAAAACAGAAGGATCTTATTTATAAGAGATGAAATAAATATGAAATATAAATAAATTAATAATAAATCTATACTTAGAATATATATAGTTGAACAGAATTAATTAACTTAATTTATATTTCTAAAGAGTAACTAATTATAATTTAATAAATAATAATTAAAAAGAATGAGTAAGAAAATAAAAAATTATCAAAAGAATATCTAATTAAAAATATTAATTATCTAAATTAATAATATAAGTATATATAGTAATCATCTGCATGATAATGTACTAAATCTAATATATTAAATGCATAATAATTATCTATATATTCAGTATGAAATTAATCTTCTTAAAAAATATAATATAAAGCTAATCTATAATATAGATAGTATAAAATAAAGTTTTAAACTAAAAGAGAAATAATCCAATTAAAATTATTATATATCTCCTATTTAAAGTATAATATACTTATTATATTCAAGAATATAATTTTTTAAAGATATTAAACTTTTTCATGATATTTTTCAAGTTTTCTAGAGATTTTTGAGTTATATTATAGAGAGAATAATCAAGTTATTTAATAAAATATTGGACTTTATAATAATAAATTCTTTTATTAAGAATATTTTCAACTTCATATTCTTCTTTATTATCAGATATAATAATTATTAATGATGATTAATATCTATTGAATTTATTATTTGGATTATATTTTTTTAAAAGTAATATATAAAATACTAGATATAATTTTATATTTGTTAATAATTACAGTTTATAAATAATAAAAGATATTTTAATAATAATTTCAAAGAAATCTATAAACTTTGATATAAGTTTCTTGATTATTTTTTATTTATCTATTGAAATTTCTATATTGCAAGTGAAAAGAAGAACTTTATTTCTAATATTGAATTCTTTAAATTTTCTATATTAATTTATATATTTTGACTGTCTCTCTTATATTTCTAATAATAAATCTTTGAGAATCTTTATCATAATATTCTAATACTTCATAAAATTTTATGAGACTGCAACATTATTTTGAGAGGACAAAATATTGATTAATATGCAAGATAATTATTTATAATCTAATTCAAAAGATATATAATCTATTGAAATATTTTTACTATTATTATAAACAAATTCTGCTATAGCTAAATTTTTATTCTATTTATTCTATTGATAGGTAATATATATTTTAAATATCTCTTTCAAGATTCTATTTAGTCTTTCTATTTGGCCATCAGTTTGAGAATAAAAAATTATTAGCATAATAAGTTTTATATCTAGTTATTTAAAAAGAGATTTTTAAAAGTGACTTGTAAATTTTATATCTCTGTAAGATTATTTTATTAATGGTTATAAACAAGATAAAATGTAATATGAATAAGTTTTAATTTTATAACTTATGATTATTTTTATTATTTAA